TCCTGCTGACTTGCTTATGCAGCTCTCTGCCAAGTGTGCCAGCTTTTGTGATACCCCTTGTAATCCATGCGTGGCCTGAGCACAGGCATTTGTTGGTGGCAAAACAGTCTCAACTTGGGGATTTTTTACTTAGTTTCATTTATCGCCAACTAACACAAACTTCTAATCACTGTTGGGTAATTAAAAAAACATGTAAGTAAACACCTTTCCTCCCCCTTTTCCAGACTCCACTTAAGCCAGGCACCTCTCTGCGGCCCGCCATGTCTCAACTCCCCTTACTTTCACCACAGGTCACACTCAGTCTGTCCCAACTCCTTCAGTGAGGAAGGGGGTGGCGCAGGACATTGTGGTCCTGTATGTAATGGTTTCTGTCTGCCACTCCTCCTTCTTACTGTGCTTGCTCCATCGTGGGTTGTCTATGGGCCACAGTCCCTTCGTGGCTGTCCCTGCTCTGGCATGGGTCACCCAGGGACTACAGTCCCTTTGGAGTGCACACTTTTGGCATGGAGCACCTCCTTTCAAGAGTGCATGTCTCCTCAGGCGTGTCCAGGTGTGTCTCCTCTCCCAGTGGCTGCTGCTGTTTCTGAAATACGCTTGAGCAGAGGTGTCATGTGCTTCCCTGACGGGCTGAAGTTTTGGTGGTTCACACCATTTTCAGAGCCAGGTGGAACCATCTCTGTGACTGGCATGAAGCACATCATGGCCTTCTCCCACACAGGTCACACCGGCAGCCCTTGCTACCCAAACTCTACCATATATGCCCAACACAGCACCCGTGTGTATAACAGTTGGGTGCTCATGTAAATTAACTGGGTGCTCATGCATTAACAAATTGGGCGCTCATGCGTGTACTAACAAAGTGCTTGGGCATAAATTATTTGGGCATGCATGCGTGAACTAATTGGATGCTTATGCAAAAATTAATTGGGCATTCATGCATAAATTAATTGGACACTCATGCATTAATTTATTCAGTGCTCATGCATGAACTAATTTGGCACTCACACAAGAACACAGCAAGCCCAGCAATTTACAGCCTATATGGCACTCCTCATCTCTGCAAGGCACATATCGAAGAACTCTTTGAATGTTAATCCATTATGAACTCTTTCAACATCATCACAATCTTAATGTACATCAGTTATAATATCCACTCTTCCTCCCTTTGGACCAGACAGTAGGGATTAATACTGTAACAGTACACTTACTAAAATGTCACTTCTCCATCCTGAGCACCACATTAAAGGGTTAACATCATAGTTTGGTTACACACCCATCACAGACCCCATCCCTGCACCGGACTACAGTGGTTAATAGTGCAACAACGTGTGCATATGCTTACTCAAATTCCACCCACTGTCCCCTGGGGCCCAGATGACAGGACTCATCAGCAAGGTCTGGGCAATATGTTATCTGTTACAAACTCTGCCCCTTTCCCCCGGGGACTAGAGTATTGGGGTTAACGTTAAAACAGCCTGAGTATATACTCATCACAGACTTCACGCCCTCATCCCTGAGGACAAGACTATGGAGGTGCATACTACAACAATCTGAGCACATGCTTATTACAAACTTCACACTTTGTTTCTGCAAAACACATAACCAAGAAAACCCCAACAGTTTGAATATATACCCATTACAAACTCCACCCCTCGCCCCTGTGGACCCCTAGCAGGGTTAACATCATCATAATCTGAATACTTGCTACAAATTTTAGGACTTTTCCCTTCAAAACAAACAATGAAGAACATAATGGCAGTTCAGGTTACTCACTGTGCTTTAGCATTAAAGCATATGATTAAGATCGTACAAGCAAAAATTACCACCACTGTTGAAAGTACCAGTAGGGTCATGAGTTCAGTAGCTGTAGGGCTTCATTTACATCCAAAATGGAGGGGGGCCAGTGAACAGTGTTCACACGCAGCAGCATGGGCATTTCCCCATTTGGGGAGTAAGATGACACACCAAATGGCTTCGCTCTCTTGGGGCTTGCTCCACAGCCATAACAACATTAAATGAGCTGTGACCCTTTTCCTGCGCTTGCAGTTGCTTAACTCACAGCTCTAGATTTCTGTCCCACTTCCATCCTATACTCTTCCTTTTCCTTCTGGAACATCTGTTATTCCCAGCATGGAGGGTGGGAGCATGGAGAATTTTCAGCCCTTTTTGACACTTTTTTCCAAGGATGAACATAAAACTGGACTCGGCATTTTCTGTGGAGCTAATCTCACACCTCTCTTCCAGCATGCTTCCCCCAGTACGGTATCTATAGGTTACTCCTTGATCAACAGAACATCCCACCAGCTTATCAGCTGATACTTGAGGAGCAGTAGCAACTGTCCAGCTGTCAGAGCTTTGGGGCTGTGAAGTTAGGTGTTCACCACTTCTGTAGGTTTTGGTCTCCAAAGCCAGAAGAGGCATCCCACAAGCTCCAGCTTCCTAACACCACCATAGCCACTGCAGGGGCATCCCCCAGGGGCAGTGTGTAAATGTCCCACGTTTCTGTAATTTCGCTCTGAAAAAAGGACCACCAAGTGTTCATGCTCTGGAGAGCAGCGTTCCGATCTCTGCAGGTCTGTTGAACCACTGTAACTGGGGCTGCCTTTGTTTGCAGTCAGCTCTCTGCTATCAAAACCCTGCAACTTACGCCCCACATGATGCTCAAGCATGAATTAACAGTGCACTCATGTTTGAACTGATGGGGCATTCATGCATAAATTAATTGGACTCTCATGCGTGAACTGAATGGGCAGTCATGCATGAATGCAGTAAACCCTGCATTTCTTGCCCAATACAGCCTGCAGAGCTCTTCAGAGGGCGGGATGGCAGGTAAAATTCACACTGGTTTCCCTGCACTGTCTCTCACAATCTTGCGGGAAGCTCCCTGGAGGCCGAGCTGAACCTCCTGACTTTTACTGGAAGAGGTAGGTATGGCCGAAATCCAAGCTGCAGAATGGTAGCATGACTACTTTTGTGTCGTTTTGTGGGCCAGGCCTTCTCTTCCTGGTGGCACTGGAGCTGAAAATAAAAGCCTGTGAACTCCCAGCAGCGCAGACCCTACAACACACCACGGAGCCCCGTGCAGTCTGCTAGATGGCAGTGGTACATACATCTTCCACTGGCCGCTTATTACGGTGTTTGAGAGTTTCAAGAAGGAGTCAATTACTCATCAGGTGTAGGGAGATTAATCATGGTACCTTATTCATATGGCATATTAACACTTCTCCTTTATTGTCACCCTAGGGCTTTGACCTCACATTTAAACTAACATAATGAAATATAGCCAAGCTTATACTGAAGTACCTCCACATAGCTGCTGTTGCTGTTGTTAATGATTTGCAAATGGAGCCTCCAAACAGGCATGCCCTTTCTTTCTTGCACTATCCCCTAGACAACTTGTTTAAGGGAGAAGTAAATAAAGCCACATTTACCACAATGACAGATCCCTGCCGTGATTTCTGCCTCCATTTTGTAGGGGAGAAGGAGAGCAATCCTGTCTCCCCTCCGCATTTCTCTTAGACCTCCCCTTCCCAAGGCCTGCCTCTCCAAAGGAGCTAGTGTGCTGTGCAGAACAAGCTTGCTCTAAAGCCTAGTGAGATCAGCGGGTGATTGGGGAACTCCGCTGCAGGAAGGATTGCTGAGCATGAGGCTGGAGAAAGCCGAAAGGGGTGAAAGTTAGTTGCCTGGGTTCTTCCATCGTGTAACTCTTCAGATGTGCTTTTGGGAACAGTGCAGTCTGTGCCGGCATGCACCCGTACTTGACAGTATTCACAACACTGCTATTTTTTTCTGGCCTTTTTGCGTGGCTCTGAACTGTGCTAGCTCACCTTTTAGCTTCAGGGGACAGCTCTGCAGCGGGTTTCCGTAACTCCCATCTCTGTGGGCTCTGGAGAATCAGGCTGGTAGGAGACAGCTGGAGCATTTCCATCTGTGCCTGGTCAGTGACATGGGACAGAGCCCAGGGGCTGTGAAGCCTCTGTAGAGCTGTGCCGAGTGGTGCCTGCTGAGAACCAGCTCCAACATTTCTGTAAGTTGCATGAGCCTGGCTGTTCCTTATACTTTAAAGCTTGCAACTCTCAAGGTCAAATATACCTTTCAATAAATCTGGAAGCTTTCACTTGCTTGTAGGCAAATGGTGGAGGGGAGGAAGGCACAGATCTGTAAGTACACTCATGGGATATTGGGACATCTACAAGATCTGTCTGCTTCTAGTTCCCAGTCTTGGTGGTAATTGCAGTTGAGGCATTTCAGTGCTAGAGAGCACCAAGCAGCAACAGACAAGCAAGCAATAAAGCTGGGGGAATGTTTGTAAACTGCAGCATGCAGAATACTAAGCTCCACATTGCTCCAGTAAACACACTATTATGTTTTGCATCTAGACATAAATGCAGTAACCGATCTCTTCTCCAGGGCTTCAGAGGGCAGAACTGTGGAGGTACCGTACAGAGGGGACGTGGAACTCACCATCCTGGACATCCTTGGGGGGCTGCGCTCCACCTGCACCTACGTGGGAGCTGCCAAACTCAAGGAACTGAGCAGGAGAACAACGTTTATCCGGGTCACCCAGCAGCACAGCCAGGTCTTCTCTTAGCCCAGGAGTTGGGGGCTGGAGATAGAGGGGTGAGGGAGAGGAGCAGGAAGGGCTGCTGTTCTGTTCTGCTTTCTCCTCCATGTTGTGTTAGTGGCAAACTCTCCTCTCTCTCAGAATGGCAGTGTCATAGCCGTTAGAGCGACTATGGCTGGGATTTGAAAGGGGAAGGTCATGCTATTAACACAGTGCCATTGGCTCAAAATGCAGTAGCCTCATCTTTTATTGTTGTGCCTATTTTATTTTTTAATCAACATTTCTTTACCTGTTTTTTCCCCCTCTGATAAAAAGCTGCTGAAATCTCAATTAACAAGGAATTGGCTTGTACAGACATGGCTGTTATGCCTGCACACATACACACATTCCCTTTTTTAAGACTGACCTGTCAGCTACCACTGCTTCTGGCAGCGCACCCTCCAGAAATTGCAGGCTGGAAGAGAAAAAGATGCAAGGAATTGTGTGGAGAAATCAAATATCAAATCCTCTTTAATCTTTGTTCTAGCAAAAGAATGGATGTTTGTGGCATGGCTGCCAGCCTGCAGAATGTCAAAGGTGGATGGTGGATGAGGCCTAGCTACTGGTGACTTCTTACTGTGATGATAAAAGTGCCAGATCTCTTTCACTCTCAATTCACAGGGCTGGTACTGCCGTTCTTACTCAAATTTCCCTATTCAATAGACTTGCCTCTTCAGAGAAGCTGACATTGAATGTAGCAAACCTGTGCTGTCCCTCCTGCCCCCATCTGTGGAGATCATTCAGGAGAAAACATCTCGGAGCTTGCCTGCTTTTTTGTGTACGCAGTTATTGAATTACTTGGGTTCCTGCTTTTACCTGCGCTCTGTGAACAGATTTTTAAGACGTTGACACTCAATAACAGTAACCCCACCAAGGGGAGGTTTCTCTGCAGCCCTCCCTGTTCCCTTGCCTGTTACTATCCATTCAGCAAAGACATAAAAACGCTGTGACATGCATTGTCTGTGGCCAGGTGAATGAGGCCGGAGGGATCAAATTCACTTCTGGTTATTTGGTACCACTCCTCTGCTTTTGGCAGAATAGCCTGATTGCAAGACACTGGTAGGCTGAGATGGAGTTAAAGCATTTGCTCTAAAGGCAGTAATGAATGTTTAAGACTCTGGGTAACACTTTAATAAAGTGTAATGGCCCGCTAATTAATTGATAAATCACAATGAAATACACATTGCATCCACATGAATACCACAGTAGCTCGTTATGATAAATGATGTAAAAGTGAGCACCAATGAATTAATAATGCTTGGCCACTTACTTTAAAGTGCTGCTGAGATCATAATACAGCTGATGTTACTTCAGTACTTGAGAGTCTTACTTTCTCCTCCTGTAGATATCTGTAGAAAGAGGCAGGCTTCCTTTGAAAGGCAAGAGAATGATCTGTAGGAAGAGGAATAGCAAAGAGAAACTCTAGAATTAAACTCATATGCTGGACTGCTCAAAAAGCCATGCAAAGGATTGGTACAATTGACCATAATGAGGAGCAAAGCTAGGCCACAGGCTGATCCCTGGTGATATTGAAGTGTGTTGTGCACATTAGAAAAAGCACAGAGTTATCTTCCAAATAGCCTGGTATTCTAAATGTCTTCCATTTAACATGTAGGACATAATTCTTAATTGTTGTATGACCCCTTCCTCTGCTTTGGAGGTGAATTAGGGCCTTAATGGGAACAAGGTTATGCTTGTGCTGGCTTTAAGGACCATTTGTCCTGCCCAGATATCATAAAGGGACCTGAACGCAGAAGAGAAGCAGGCCCTGTGAGTAAAGGATCTGATCTCTATTCCTTTCAGCCTGAAAGCATCACGTTAAGAAGATGCCAGACTTCTTTATCACAAACCCTACCGCAGGCCAAATACTGCTCTCACCTGCACTAAGCCCAGAGTATTAGTAATACAGGCAGTGTTACTACTCTGCATCAGTATGGCTGTAGGAGGTCGCTGTTCCTTTATTTACGTGATGTGAAGGGTAGGGGTACAACCTCCGTGAGGAGGAGGGTTGGACCATCATGTCGCAGGCCTGACCACAGGAGTGTCTCCACACTCGTGCCTTCATACGTGGGAAGTGCAGCAGTCTGCTGGTCTCACGCCTACTCTTGCTAGCGCTTTTCTACTTTTTTTAGCTACATGTCTAAATGGAATTTAAGAAATACATATACATATAAAAAAAATATATATTTGTAAACATTTTTTTAAAAAGATCATACACACACTGAACAGAGCAGCTTCATGACATGTCTTTGGAACAATTTCTTTTCCAAAGGGCAGGCGCTGGGGAGAAGTGGGGGCTGCCTCTCCATCAGCGTGGCAAGCATGGAGCCTTCTCCCCAGGCAGGCTGCACCCTTGGACAGCCAGCCTGGTCTGGGGCCACTCACACCCGTTTTCCTTCCCCCGCCACACATACCTCTGACTGACCAGTGACTAACAGGAAAGGATGGGGATAGGCTGATCTTAAGTTGTCACCTGAATTCTCCAGGCTGTGAATGACATTGGCGCTAAGAATAGTTACTGATAAAGCTTTGACTTAGGGTATTTGGTTTTCTAAATAGCAGCTCTTACCATCATTTTGATAAGCAGCATATTTTCTCTTTCGTTTTCTCCTTCTCTCTCCAAAGTGAGCGGGAGAGAGAAATCAGCTGCAGAAAGGCTGAACCGGTGGCACGTCTGCATCTCGCCCAACGTTGTATGCAGGTTTTGTTCATGGATAACCCTCAACTATGTCAGCACTCAATTACACTGTACACGTCCAGCTCTCAGACAGGCTGGAAAATGGAAAAAAAGCGAGCTCGAGCCCTCCGCTAACACCCAGTCCTGTGCTCTCGTAGTTGCCCTTATCTTCACTTAGCCCCAGGTCCTGTGCCCTGCTCAAGCCCGCTGCCACTCTTGCAAGGAACTGGGGGCATAGAGGGAGCTGAGGGTGCGCTGTGCCTGGCAGGGTGTCCAAGCAGAGACCACAACTACTGATGAATGCCACGTGCCATTTGTGGATCTACCTCACCTGCAGGTTTGACCGGGTTCTCTGTTACTTGGTGTCCTTCTGTGGGAAGTGTCATTCAAAAGCGCTTAGTGTTGGGTGATTGTGCATAACCTGGTCCTCTTTAACCCCACCACTCCAACCGCATCCTGTCTATCACTGAAAGTGATAGCCTGTGCTGTAGGCCAAGGTCATGCCTGCTTCCCCCAGCCAGGCAACTGTTAAGTTGAGCACCTAAGAGCAATGTTGAGGTTTGGCCCACTGGCTCTGCAGTGGTTTAGTTTAACATGTCAAAGACCTACAGACTGGGATGCTGGAAAGGGTAACATTGCATCATTAAAGCAATCCCTGCTGAGCGTGTCCATCTCTGGCTTCTTGAAACATAAGGACAGGTAAAACACCCCCGCTGCTCCCAGTCTCATTCTGGAGTCGCCTTGCTGCAGCATGTTTCGCAGGGTGGGCTGGCCGGCCCTCCTACCCACGCAGCCTGGCTTACCTGAACTCTCCTTGGGGAGGAAGGTCTTGGCACAGCAGCAGCCTTGCTCACCCGAGTGACTACGTGGTGGCTGCAGGGAGAACGTGTGTAGGCCTCCTCGTAGGCGTGAGGCCAGCCTGTTAGAGGAGTGGTCTTGAGCCAGCATCCTGCCAGATGCAAAACAAGCCACGCAAGTCTCCTGTCTCTGAAAGAAGCAAGTGCGTGCCTCGCCTCGCTCTCCCCCCCTCCGCTTACTGGCACAGCTGGCTCACCCCCATCCGCCATGGGGCAGGGGCTTTGGCTGTGCTCTTCTGTGCAGCTTTCTTCTCACCTTGGGGCATGGCGGGGGTTGAGTGTAGGTCAGGGCCGTCCTGTAAATATGAAGAGTTGTCAGCAGGAGCAGGAGGAGGCTCTGCTTACATTTGGAGGTTTTCCCATACAAAGCGTGCCTGTGTCTTCCTTTCAGCTAGTCAGTAGCAGGGGGAGAAAGGATGGGGGTGAGCAAGAAACACAGCAGCAATTATCCAAGCCCCGCTGTGTTGGCACAGGGGGCTGGTGTTTTCCAGTCACGGACATGTTGGGTTTGAAGCCTTTTCTGAACTAAGCACTCCCTAGTTTATACCTATCGAGCTCCACTGTCTTGAGCAGACTTGCTGCTACAGCTTTCTGCCAGTGTACATACAGTGTCTGCCCATCACTGCCCCCCGCCCCTCCACCCTGGGGACGTTGCTTTTTAGTTGCTAGTATCAGTTTTATACCAAAAGTTCTTTGCTGGAGCCAGGAGGGCTTTTGCAACCAGTGTGTGGTTTGGCCTTGCTTGTGTAGAAGAGAGAGAAAAAAAAAAAAGCCAAGGCCCAAGAAGAGCAGTTTGCTTTCTGCAGCAGCCAGAGCCGGCAGGCAGGAGGGCCGGGCCCTTCCCTGCGGGCTGGGAGCTGCCCGGGGGCAGAGGGGCCGAAGCGCGTCTTGGTTAGATGCTGGCTCAGCTCTGCGCCCCTGAACACAGCATGGACCACCCCCCCGCAGCCTTCGCTTTGCTTGTGGTCATTCAGATGTTCAAGCGAGCCCTCCCCAGCATTCACTTGACACAATGTTTACTGGTTGAAGTTTTCATACATAAATAAATAATTCAGAGTCCAAAACTCCCTGGTGTTGCTTGCAGTAACTGCGAAGCGCTTCTGCAGCATCGGCCAAAAAGAGCTGATGAGCATTCGATGTTTTCCTGCCCCAGTCGGCCCTGCTGAGATGGCAACGAGGAGCACTGCCTCCCCTCCCCTGGAGCAACCGCGTCTGCGCAACGCCTCCGGCGCACGTGGCACAATCATTTAAAGCGTGCAAAAGTTGTAACTGGAAAGTTTTGTTATGCAATAAAGAGCTTCACTCGGACGGTCTGCAGAGGGTTTTGTGGCCATGGAGGGTACGTGCGCATTTCTGCGTCGTCGTGAATAAAAGCAAACGCTCTAAAATGCATTGCCGATGGGGGAGAATTAAATGGGGCAAATTACTTCCCTAGGAAAGCGATCTCACATTCAGTCGTTACTCATAAAGACAAAACACACATTTGCAATTGGCACTGTTATTTTATTAGTACGAGTATACTGAAACAATAAACTTGTACTGGTATACAGACAATTTCTTTAAAACAATTTTGTTCAAATTTTGAATCAAACATTGTTTTATTATAATAATGAAATAATTTCTACCTAGAAAACCTGCAAGCACCATCAAAGAAAGGGACCATAAAATTCAATAAACAGACGCGAGTGTATCCTACAAATAGACACACCACCATTAGAAAATAGAATATGAATTCTTCCATTTTTTTTAATATTTGTTTTAAAAAAGCTAGTGCAAGTACAATATTTTACACTGGAATTACAGAGAGTATGCACGCATATGGAAAAAAGTTCTCCTGTCACAATAAAAGCTCTTAACTATGTCTGTATGCACTTAAAATCTTCTCCTCTTTTCAATAAGGTGCAAAACGTTATTCCCTCCCTATTTCTCCTTTGTACTGGCCATGTCAGCTCAATTTCTCCCCCACACAAAGCTGCGATATCCCTTTTACTGGGCCTACCCTAGGAACTACAC